CTCCTCCAGGATGGCACATCAATACGTGCCATTGCCAGAAGGTTTGCTGTGTCTCCCAGCACAATCTCAAGAGCATGGAGGAGATACCAGGAGACAGACAGTTACTCCAGGAAAGCTGGACAGGGCCGTAGAAGGTCTACAACCCATCAGCAGGACCGGTATCTGCTCCTTTGTGCAAGGAGGAGCAGGAGGAGCACTGCCAAAGCCCTACAAAATGACCTCCAGCAGGCCACTGGTGTGAATGTCTCTGACCAAACAATCAGAAACAGGCTTCACCAGGGTGGCCTGAGGGCCCAACGTCCTCTAGTGCGGCCTGTGCTCACTGCCCAGCACCATGGAGCTCGATTGGCATTTCCTACAGAACACCGGAAATGGCGAGTCTGCCACTGGCTGTGCACAGGCTGCCCTGTGCTTTTCACAGATGAGAGCAGGTTCACCCTGAGCACATGCGGTATGAAATCCTTGCACCCATTGTCAGCCCCTATGCTGGTGCAGTGGGTCCTGGGTTCCTCCTGGTGCACAACAATGCCCGGGTTCATGTGGCGAGAGTATGCAGGCAGTTCCTGGAGGATGAAGGAATTGATACTATTGATTGGCCCCCACGCTAGCCTGACCTAAATCCAATAGAACACCTCTGGGACATTATGTTTCGATCCATCTGACGCCACCAGGTTGAACCTCAGACTGTCCAGGGCTCAGTGATTCCCTGGTCCAGATCTGGGAGGAGGTACCCCAGGACGCCATCCATCGTCTCATTAGGAGGATGCCCTGACGTAGTCAGGCATGCATACACGCACGTGGGGGCCATACAAATTATTGAATACCATTTTGAGTTGCAATGAAATTTCAGCAAAATGGACTAGCCTGCCGCATCATTTTTTTACTGTAATTTTTGGGGTGTCTTTGAATTCAGCCCTCTGCAGGTTGATAATTTTCATTTCCATCAAATTATGTGGCATCCTTTTGCTCCTAACACATCACCCAGTCCATTTCAGTATAAATAAACAGCATGATTTTTTGCCCCAATGAGATCTGATGTGTTTTCAGTGTTCCTTTAATTTTTTTGAGTAGTGTATTTCAACATCAAAAAGTCCTAACCCCTGTAAGTAATAATTTGCTATTTGATAGTTGTCCTGGGTCATTTCATGCACCTATCTGTCACTTATGCATTGTCTTATTAGGACATATAAATAACACTTTTATGTTTACTAAGAAATGTAACAATAACAATACTATAAAGTCATATTATGTGACTGCACATAATAATATGCTGTATATGCACAAAAAAGTTTGCTTTCTCTTAATTCTTAGTCATTGATTTAGATAATAGTGCTTTTAGAGATGAGCAAAATGACTTTTTGAAGTTAGGCAGTTTTGTATCTGCACAAAAACCTTACTTAGCAGAAGCAAATCAACCAATCCTGGACCGTATTTATCTGCTAAAGCTAAATCAGCCTTAGAACTAAACATTTAAGTAAAGAAACGACCTACTGGATTCAAAGGATGACTGTGTTTTGGTTCTTCCTGAAGTAAATATTCACTTAATGAGTGCAACCTTATAATCAACACAGTCAGGAGAAAATACCATTTAGATGTCAAAACTTCGATTTGTCAGCTTAGAAATTCCACCTAGCCAAAATGATACAGTAGTTTTAATCAACATTTAATAAAATAAAGTCTGAAGGAACATAAAAAATACAAAGAAGTCTCCCATCAAACCCATGCACTTTATTTTTTAAGCCTTTGATAAGTTCAAAACAAACTTGAAACACTTGAAAACACACAGTATATATTGCATTGCACACAATATGTAAATGAGAAAACTGCAAATCAGCGAATAGAAACAACTCATTATATCATCATCTACATTTCTGTGGACATGTCTCTCTTTCAAAATAATTTTAGCATCTTGAAATGTTTTTCAATCTTTGATGAGTGACTTTGTTGTAATATTCTTTGTTTTTCTATTCTGCTTCTTGTAACTACCCTTTAATCTTATGCAAATTACCCTTTTAGTTTCTGAGCTGTAATTTGGATTTAGATCAAAGATTAACTTTGACCTTTGCTGGTGCTGTTTACAGAATGGATTATTTCAATAGAAGTTTGTGTCTTATTCTTTTCTGATGTACAGTTTGATACTAAAGATGATGCAGATTGATCCTTAAATAAAGAATAAAAGTTAAACATATAAGTTAAACATATAAAGTGAGAGTGTCTCTATGGAATTTGGGAAAATGAGGCCCTTCAGTTCTCGAGGTTCTTTGGAAGCTGCAGAGCAGAGGGCGTCCAGAACTTCCCCCTGAAAGAACAGGTTCCCAGTCAGATTCTGAGTCTATGTGGATGCCAACTAGTGTTGGGACTATTTGGTTTCACTGTTTGGTTATGAGGAGATCAAATTCTGCAACCCCCACACAAACAGACAAGCAAACTAAATAGCTCTAAATAAACTGTTATTTGCTGATAAAATATATAAACAGATGTTGTGTAGTGCTGTCTGCATATAATTATACATGCTGAAATCCTCATTTAGATTATTGCTATGAACTAAATTCAACTCTATGTCTTTATATCAAAGCATTTCTCTGATGTGTCTGACTATTTTACCTGACTGCTTTCTCCAGTAAAGATGTTCTGCAGCTTATACACAGTGACCTGGCCACAGCTGTCTCCCACCATGACGCAGTCTGAGCGTGATGCAAACAGGAGAGACGTCATCTTCAGTCCAGGGGCAGCACGCTGCACAATAACTGGGTTCAAACTGTAAGATAGGAGTGGATATTGTTAGGGAATAAGGCTCATTTGTTCGCAGTGGGTTGTTTATGGAAGGTGTGATGATGTAGGTGACAAAAGCACCTGCTAGCTATCAAACTTCATCAATGGACTGCAAATACAGCTGGTTGATTTTTCTGCTCATTTGGACTTACAAGTTGGTGTTAAGGTCCCAGATCTCAAGCTGGCTGTCGTTAACAGCACCAAATACCGCAGCCTGCCTCGGAGACCACCTGACTTCATGAACTGCCCTGTGGTTGGAGGTGAAGCTTAACATGGGACTCTTGCAGTCCTGCTTCCAGAGTCTAATGGTGGAGTCTGAAGAGCAGCTTAGGAACACATCTGGGTGGAAAGGACACCATGTCACGCAGTTCGCAGGACCCTAATAGGGAACAAAATAGAGACCAGTGTCTTGATCTGCCCTGATAGCTGACCTTGATTACTTGTTTAATTCACCTGCCTTTCTCATCCCTTCTCTTTCATCTTATTCACTTGCATTGGAATTATTCCATCAGAGTGATTACTTCCTCTCCTGCTGCTTGAGCCTTAATTATAGGCAGCAGCTGTCAGTCAGTGCTGAGGTATTTCTTTAAATATCATGACACAGGACAGAATGACCCGGTATTCAAAGCAAGACAGACAGCGGATTAACTCAAAACATTTATCTAAGACATGGAACTGTCGATCCACGGTATCAGCAGCTAGGGGGTCTATCACTAGTAACTCTGGTAACTGGAAACCCAGGTTAGTGACCACGTAAATCTAATGGAGGAAGATTATGAACGTGAGTCACTAATCTGGTTTATCAGGTCAGTCCATTGCCAGAGAACGAGGCAGGATCTGGCCGGTGGGCTGCCAACAAGATGTGGCGGGCGCCACCCAGAGTGTCCCAGCAGCTTCATCTAGGAGAATATGCAGGAGTTTGAAACCAGGTCAGACATACAGATCAGAACAAGAGCAGGCTGGTGCAGGGATCCAGAAGTCCAAAGACAGTTCAGGCAATCCGTTCAGATGGGAACAGACATACTCAGTGGTTGAGAGGCAGAACAGGCCAGGATCAGAAACTACCAGGTATGCTAAAAACCACTCTGTCCACTGGGATCAGACAGGAACAGGCATGTTCAGGGGATGAGAGGCTGAACAGGTCAGGATCAGGAAATCAGAAACACTATGGTATGCTAAAAACCCTCTCTCCACTGGTCCCGGAGAAAGAGAACAAGATAATCTGGCCCTGATAGCTGGATACAAGTTCCTCAAAGTGGCAGAAGCAGGTGGTTCAGATGAGCAGTGATTAGAAACCAGGCCGAGTCAGACAGGTGAATAGAGTGCCAAGATCATGACATTAAATTCAAGTTTCTAACCAACACTAGCTACGTTTACATGCACAAAATTTCCCCGATCCGATCCAAACCTTGGTTGATCGGAAATTCAAAATCTCCGTTTACATGGACACTAAATGAATGATCCGATCATGACGTGTGTATACATGTACCAAGCGTTGGATCAGATTAAATCTTTTAAGCATGCGCAGAACTTCCTGCCAAACTTGGCAGTTCTGTCTGCGTCTGGTTTTTGGGAGGCCTGACAAACGATGCGCTCGGAGCGAGCGGAAAGAAAAAAGGAGAGAGGAGGAAAAAAGCGCTTGGCAGCGAAATGTCCGAGAGAAAATGTAGAGAATGAGCGATTGAACCGGCGTGGGAGAGCGAGTGGGCTGTGGAGAGAGAAAAGAGGATGAGGAGGAGGATAAATTCCTGCTTCCTGCAGCTTTAAATGAACTTGAGTGTATAAGTCGGCGTTCCTAGACTCCTCCCGCCATGTTGTTCAAAGCGAGAGCGAGAGCGACCGGTGGTTTCCTGTTGTTGACAAGGCGGAAAAACGTCACGCTGACGTCGCACACATGCGCAGTGAAGATGATTTTATTCTTAAGATCCGAATGGGTGTTTACATGGACGCCAATCAGAATGGCGATCGGCAAAAACCACCTCTCTCTTTCGGAATTAAATTTATTTCCGATCGGACCAAATCGGATTAGAATCTTCAGTCTGACATGTTTACATGAAACATTTTTGATCTGATCAGGCCTTCAATCCGATTATTTGTGTCCATGTAAATGTAGCTATTGATGAAGTCTTTGTTCCGGCACATAATGAGCAAATCACAAAAACAGCCTTCAGTAGGGCTTTTTCTGCAGAAACACTGTCATTAAATCAGCGGCTGTGTGCCATTGTCTCTCCTCTTCTTCTTCCTGAAGTTGAGCATAGCTGTCCACATGCACTTACACCAAGAAACCATAGTCCTTATTTACTGTATATACTGTAGGCAGTTGTGTACAAAATACTCAGTACTTGAGTAAAAGTATTGATATTCATAGCAAAATCTTACTCAAATACAAGTAAAAGTTACTCAAACATCTACTCAAATCAAAATATTGAAGTAATCACTTTTGAAAATACTTCAGTATTCAAAAGTATGTGCATTTAAAAGTAATATAGTATTTAAAAATACAGAGCTAAGCTGAGCCAAAAGGAAGAAGGAACTAGCAGCTTTCTTGAAATGATGTAGAGCAGACAGTACAATAATTAACTTTGAAATGTAGTGGAATGAACTTAACTTAAATTACAATACGCCTTCGCAGCACTTAGCTGCTCGGGCCTAACTATAAGTACCCCCCCAAAATATCACTAAAGTAAAGCAAAGATACTCAAAAAAATACTTCACCACAGTAATCAAGTAAATGTACATTATTACTTTCCCCCCACTGACGGTTATTGACGAATAACAAATTTGTTTAAAGCAAAGTAATGACTAATGCGGTACTGACTTTTATGAATTAGTTACAGCGCTAGTTACTGGAAATGTAATGTAATTGAAAGACTTCCGGCAAGACATTTTGAACGTAACTTTATCTAGATCTGGATGGTTGGACAAACAGTGCATGAAACCAGTGCAACAATGGTGCATTTACCAGTAAAAGGAGTTTTAGTTACTCCAGTTTCCAATAAATGTTGCCCTTCATCACTATCATCATCATCATTAGGAAGCATATTTGTTTATGACCTGATTTGAATTTAAACTGTTGAATATGTTGATTATTGGTAATTCATTCAAATCCTTCTGTGGATGCATGGTTAAACAGCAATGCTTGACTTTCCTCAGTTCATTCTTAAAGAATTTAAGACAATTGAAAGAATCTTTAAAGAACCTTTTTGTTAGTTCTACAGATCAAAGTAATTTCTGTGACCACTGTGGGTTTTGGTCATTAAACAACCAACAATTGTGTCCACATTGCTATGTTTATTTACCATAAAGTCTCTGAATATTTACTCAAATTTCTTAACCCCGACACTCAAAGTAACACTATGTCTGTAAACTAAGAACGTCGGAAGTAAAAAAAAAGAAAAAAAAAAGCAATAGTTGGATCTAGTTTTGCTGGATTCTTCTCAGGAAGAGACAGTGGTTTTAAGAGTGCTGAACTTACAGAATGTTTGCTGTAAGTTTCCAGAAGGTCATAACTTCGGGAGCAGGAACGCTTTTGGATGTTTCCCTCCCAGGTACAAGTCAAGTAGATGTTGGCGTCCTGTAGAAACAAGCAGTCTTTGTGAGAAATACAGGTGGCAAATGATCCGACAGTTTCTTCTACATATTCTGGAGCAACTTACAGTTGGATGAAAGTCAAAGTAGAGACCAGAGATGAACATAGGCTGCAGATATCCTTCTTCTGTCTCTGGTTGGTTCTGTTTATCCATGTCCGGGGTGTTAATCCTGTCGAGCTCCATCATGTCTTTGAAACAGCAATATAAATGTCAAAACATACAGTATGTAGTTCTTAAGTGTAGCATTATTATTTACTGGGGAAACAAACCTTTTTTGTGTCCTTTAAACATTGTAGTTTGTCATTGCTCACAATCCTCTGTTGTTGAGTCCAAAAAATTTCCCTTTCCATTTTAACTTTTAGAGAATCACTGGTCTATGTCTGTGTGTTTTCTTTTCTGCCGTTGATTGCAACATTCATGATTTTTTTCAGAGACCAAAGGTTTCCTTTATGCTCACCTTAGGAGTATCTTACATCTTTAAGGCCTGTTTCTGATTATACAGACATGCACTTTGAAGACAATATGAGGCGGCGGGCATTAGAGATCGACAGCTAAAGCTTTTCTAAGGCTGATTTTGATTCATTTGACTTTAGTCTAACTGATCACCACTATGTGCTGCTGATGTTTTTGGGGCCAATTCTTTGAGTTGATATTAGTTTTTTCCCTACATTCTCATGATAAAAAAAAACCCATTTATAACAAATGTTACACAAGTCTCAACTTAAACAAAAAAAAGAAACCTTTCTTAACAAATTAGAGAAAGCATTTAAATATAATAGCAGATGGCGGGAGTGGCAATGTATGCACTTTATGTGACACAAGATAAAAATAATGTTGCTGGAAAAAAATATCTTTCAGTTGATGCATCAGTCTTTCTCCAGCTCTAGCATCTATTATAATACTTTAAGATGTCTAAAAAAATTATTTTAAATGTATCACTGTCAAACAGTTAGGGGGTACTTTGTTAAACTGAGGAACAATTTCACAACAGAACAACAAAAAAAAAAAACATAAAGTTTTAACCACAGCATAGTCAGATCAAATGAAGTGTGTGGCAGATGTAACAAGACCAGAAATAACCTATTTATTAAAAATTTTAAAAAAGCTATTAACAGCAGGGAAGCAAACAACATCTTGGATTTGTTTGGAGAAGTGAAAGTAACAAAATCTTGGAGAAAATATATACTATGATGCACCCAAAGTAAAACATTCAAATCGTTAGCAGCTCTTTAGCTTTCGAACAGGACGATGCATGGGCTGGGAATCGTAACCCTTTAACCTGCACTGCTCTACTCATGAGCTTATTTAACTGCTTCCTCTCAGAGGAAGATAATATACTGGGTGAACAAATTCGAGGGTAGCTGATATAACCACCGAGTCAGGAAGGGTCTTAAGCCCTTCCTGTAGACGGCACCGGTATCCTTATTCCCAACTATTTTAGTTTTTTTTTAAAAAGTGAATACCTGGATACTATGTTATAACTATGTTATTTTCAGTGTTTTCAGACTTCATTACCTGCCGAAACTCTTTATAATGAGAATGACAGTGGCAGAGTCTGCTAAAATCCTTTGGAGACAATTTTTTATCTGTAAATACACTGTGCGATATTTCAAACATTGCACACAGCTACAGCTAACACTGTACGACAAAACCACAGGGTTTAAAATTTCACAGCTCACGATGTATGTTCTCACACTGTTCGACAGGACGCTCTGATGCGATCTACCTGCTCACACTGTATGTCTAAAAACCACGTGGGACTCAGCTCCGCAGTGAGATGGCGCTACTCTGACTCGTCTATCCGGAGGTCAAACAAGTAGGAGAGGAATATGAAGCTCACTAGAGTGAAACGCACTGCCTTGGCAATTTGGGCAATTATGTGCTGAAAGCCCTAAAAAGAAAAAGCAATGATGTAATTAAACAAAGACATAGCTGAGCAAAAGTGGCTACTACTGTCTGTCAATTTTACACAAAGTCCTCCATTTTACTTGCACCCCCGCCATGCTTCTGTGTTTTCGGCTGAGAGGAAGAAAAGACGAGGAGTCCTTGTTTGTGCATGCGCACTGAGCGGTTTACCCAAGACCATCTTACAATGGCTGACTGAATTTCAAACATGTTCATTTTCTCCCGACCTTACAATTCCTGATCAGGAGGTGGTTGTGAGAGGCTGATCGCCCCTTGTTACCCCCTGTATACTACACAACGCATGACGCATAAGTTGGCCCGACTGAAAAATTTTTGCACAACTGGAGAATCGCTCCGAAAAGGGGGGAAAAAAAATCAGATTAAGGATGTTTCAAATACATTTGAACAAAAACTCTCAGGTTTTCTCTAATATCTAAACATCCATAGGTTCGTAAATTTAGACGTATGGATGTGTTTCAATTCAATTCAGTTTAATCCAGTTCAGTTTTTTTTAAATCTAAATGTTAATATATGTCTGATGTCTGTGACTGAAGACACTCTGTTAGTGTTTCACACTCTTCTGGAGAGTGTGCTATATGATCCTCATCATTTTATGAAGAATGCAGGACTTAAGCTTCCATAGTGCATCCTAGTTTTTATTACTTGTAAATAAATTTAAGATCAGTTTTAGAAAAAGCAATCCAAAGCTTAAAACCACTTGGATTTTGTTTCTTTGTGGATCTAAGAGCACTTTAATCTACAATTCAAATTGTTTAATGTGAGAGAACCGCACCTGTGCATTCCAGGCAACCATTAACGACAAACCACTTGCAGGTCCTGCCGTCTTCACCCAGAGAGAATAGATCCTCAACCCTCTCCTTTTCAGTGAAGCTCTGTTCTTGCAGGTTCCACCTGAGTAGCCTGACTGGCCCATGGTGTCTTTTGAGACTTTCCCTGCATGGGCACATCGAAAAAGAAGGGCACCAAACATGAACTTAGTCAGGCACAATATGTGCACTCTGTGTCTCTGTGCACTCATGTCAACTTTTGTCACTTTGAGAGTGGAAGCATCCTGGGAAAGCAAACCACCTACATTTCAGGAACTCTCGACTCACTAAGTAAGGTAAAAACCGGTGCTTGTTTACATACCACTGCAGTTTGGTTCCACATGTTCAGAGATGCACACTAATATTACTGATATATATCCTGATATATACCACGCTGAATAATATTGTTTAATCACCATGGTGTTGGCCTTCCACACATGGATATCTAAGGGATACCCACTGCTCTGGAAGCTCTTTTTTAAGTTTAAATTGGTTGTCTGTTGACTTCTTTTTGCTGTAGTTATGTTCTCTGTTTTCTGTCTCATACAGATGTGAAAGCAGACTTATAGGAGCTGCTGTATATCCTGTATTGTTAAATTTTCACCTCACCTTCCTTTCTGTCTATGAGACCATTTTAGATAATTTTACTCCCTAATTAATTTTCAATAACGTTGCATATACATTATCAAATGGAGCCTTATGGTAACAGACATAATGCTCAGCCTGTTAAAGCAAAGCTGTTGAGTTATCTAGTTCTGGGACATCTGTTCCCAGACCTACATTTGCAACTTGATCTTGGAACAAAAGCTCCAGGATATAAGCACCTTTCAGCGGGAAAAGGCTTTCATGCCAGCATATAAGTGGCATTTTAACCAAGTACTTTTTTTACTCCTACAGGAGTCATTTTTTGAATGACTGCTTTTTACTAACACAAATTTGATGAAGTAGTGCTACTGTTAAGTACAGCTTTTTGGATACTCTGCCCACCTCTGAATATAGAGTAATACTACTGGGCCTAATGTTTATACCAGTGCTTTAACAGCCACACTCATTCCTCACCGGCTGCTGAAGGTTGGTGCCTTGATATCCGCAGTCTGCAGGTTATAGATGGCAATGACGCCGTCACTCATCCCCACAGCCAGCCGACCAGGGTGGTTGGCTGAGAAATCCAAAGTAGTAATGGCACCATCGCAGTAAATTATACGCTCAGGCCACTGCAAGAAAGGACCAAAATTTACAGCTTTTACATCAGGTGTATGTCTTACTGCAAGACTTTACTAGAAAAAAAATATGTCATAGGAAAACACCGCTGATGTCTAAAGCAGTTAGACCCCCCCCACCATGGCTACATCAGCACGCCACATTGGCTACATTAGCACAGCACGCCAACGTCCTGAACGCTGTAGATGTTCGACTGCTGAAACATACTTGACAACCTCTCAGTGCTATTTTTGACAACCATCTTCCCGATTTTGGTCTTTACAGATCACCTGTTCCGCCGTTCCCATCAATGAGAAAAAAGTTCTGTAGTACACAGCAAAAACTGATCTAAAGCTGATAAACATTTCTTCAAATAAATGAATTTGCCCTAAATGTGAGCATGAAAAATAAGATGATCTGTTAGTGGAATGACTCTTTCTGCCCTTAAAATAGATAATCAGTTATTATGCACTTTAAATAAGATAACAAGGAAGTTTATTCATATTTTATACATCTTATTCCAGTGGTGAATGGTCTAGCTAGTTTCAATCAACAAACAGGAAAATACACTATTAAAAAAAAAGGACTTAATTCAGTTCAGATTTTTGCAGTGTATTTGATAGTTTACTACAGTTCAAACTAATAATAGTGTTTCTAAACAACGTGTTGGTTCAGGGTGCTCTGTTTGTGTCTTTGAGTTATAATAGTCTGCTTGATGAAGAGTGATCGGTCATACCGTGGGGTTTATAATGCACCAGCAGCACACCAGACCTGGTTTCTCGTTCATGGAGTCGGTCTCACTGTAACCTACAGCAAGAAGGTCCTAGCACAAAAAAAGGAGAATCAGTATTATAATCCTGAAGACACAAATGGATGGGTCAGGATTTATTATGCTTTTCAGTTCATTGTCATAAAAGCAGTTCATGTTTGAACTGTTGGTGGTAACTCTTATAGTTTTTATTTTGCATCAATCCAACTCGGCTAGTTTTGAAAGCTGACATCAGTGTCTTAGTGAACAGATTTCAATGAAAGAAAAACCCACAATGAGTTAGGTATGCCTTAGTTGATTTCCTTTGGAGACATTTTAGTATATTTTTGAAATTTGATGTAAGTCCTTTTGTGAAGAATTTTTTTGGAAATAAATAGAAAATACTTTTTTATATGCCTTTGTCCTTGTGCCTTACTGGACGGACCACTACACTTCATTTTTCCAGACGGCCTGTTTTAGCTCCTTCCAAAGATGCTCAGCAGGACTTAGGTCCGGGCTCCTAGAGGCCACTTCAGAATAGTCCCCTGTTTTCCTCTCAGCCTTTCTTGCCTGTGTCTATCTGTATTTTGGCTGATTATCCTGTTGAAGATCCATGACCTGCGACTGATACCAAGCTTTCTGACACCGGCCAGCACATTTCTCTCTATAATCCCTGGATAGGCTGGAGATTTATTTGGACTCTGCAGAGATTCAGACACCCTGCCAGATTAAGCAAAGCGGCGCCCAGAGCATAACAGAGCCTCCTCCATGTTTCACAGTAGAGACAGTGTTCTTTGTTTGATCTGCTTCATTTTTCTAGCTGTGACCATAGAACTGATTTGCCTTGGTAAAAAAGTTCAATAAGATTGAAGCCATTTTGTACTTTGTTTTGTTTGCTGTTTGATTGCTGTTGCCAACTTAAACCCCCTCATTGACCATTAAGCTGTTCAATTGCAATGTACAAAAAAATGCAGCACATGAAATAAGATCCAACAACCTGTATGTTAATGACCAATAATACTGGGTCAATCCAATAACTATGGAAGTAAATCTGTGTCGCTGGGATTTGAATTAAAAATGCTACTGAAATTTAAATGTTGTTTGTTTGTACTTACTGTTTCAGTGTTAAAATATATTCAGAACACTTTTTGACCTAAGAAAGATTCATTTTCATTATTTCTACATAGTTGAAATTTCATTTATTTTCTTTTCAAGCTAAAAATTCACATTACTATTTCAAAGTGATTACATTTTCAGTACTTATTTTTCAGTTTAATTTTTCAGTGTTAAAAAAAAAATCTGCATATAAAAAAATTCAACCTTTCAAAATTCAAACTCAATATTTTCAGCCTCCTTAGATTCAACTGGCTCTATTTCACTTTCTTAAACTCGGCGTCTAAATTCAGTGTAAAAAGGGAAGGGTTACTCCAGGTCACAGACATTAGCAATGGATTGTGGTGTCCAACACCCAGCCAATCCTGTTACGTTTTCTTGGTCACGTGACGTGACGTTTGTGGCGCTCATACTGAAGGAAAACCAGCATGATGGAGCCGGTCATGCAAGCTAATGCTAACTCAAATACAGAAAAATGAAAGTAATAAACTCACTGTTGAGTCCCCAAAAAAAACACGCCAAAAGTTCTGATTATTGGGAGGAAAACAAAATATATAACGCATTCAAAATTTCAAGAATACATAAAATTTCAGATATTATGCCAAGCTGTGCCAAAATGGCACAGAAGGTTCGCCCAGATTTTTCTAAATCCAACCATTTATACCTTTTAACCATTTATAACAACCATTTCTAATTCCTTGGTTTTCATTCAACAAGTAACTTCTCAGTTACTTGTTGAATGAACACCAGGGTTGCTACAGATGTAACCAAGATATTGTAGTCGCTGTTTATTATGTTTATTTCCTTTGATACAGGAAAGGTAAGGAGCTTTGTAGGTGAAAATCTTTGTTTTTTTTTGTTTGTTTTTTCATTTAAGCCGGGCATACATTGTGCGATTTTTTCAGTCGTTGCATGCAGCTACTGCTCACACTGTACCACTGAAAACCACATCAGACTTGAGAGATGGAGCTGCTCTGAGTCGTCTATCCGGAGGCGAAACAAATAGAAGAGGAATATGGAGCTCACTAGAGTGAAACACGCTGCCTTGGCAATTTTTGCAATTTTGTGCTGAAAGCCTAAAAAGTAAAGGCGACGACATAATTCGAAAAAAAAAAAGACATGGCTGAGCAAACATAGCTACTATGGTCTGTCAATTTTACAGAAAGGACTCCATTTAACTCATTCCATCCCTGCCATGCTGCTGTGTTTTCATCTGAGAGGAAGGAGAAAAAAAAGAATCCTTGTTTGCGCATGCCCACTGAGTGATTTGCCTGGAAAATGGAAAATCGCCCCGAAAATTGCACAGTGTACGCTGGGCTTTGCTCAGGCCCAGATTAGTTTACTTTAAAATTTTACTTCCACTTCATGCACCAGGGTCATTATTTCCTTTAATCAAAGAGTTACCAGTTTAGGCAGCGTACAAGTTGAAAAAAGCCTTAGAAAGTATGAGTACCTGTATGCCTTTTTTGGAAAATAGGATAGCAGGCTTAAGAGGTTTTAAAACCAACAATGAAAATAAGAAAAAAAAGATTCCATATGCTTGTTATCTGTTTATGCTTTCAAATTTAAAGAACTTGGTAAATGCTTCAATGGCCTGTTTTGTTTGTAGTAGGCAGTGACTATTACAATTATGGGAAACATATTACATTTGAGGCTGCTCAAATGTAATATGGAACAGTGGGTAGCATTGGTGCCTTGTAGTAAGAAGGTTCGGGGTTCGATTCCGCTTGGAGTTTGCATATTCTCTCTGAGCATGCGTGTTCTCTCTGGGCACTCTGTCTTCCTCCCACAGCCCAAAAACATGATTGTTAGGTTAATTGTCTTCTCTAAATCTCCAGGTTATACCCCGCCTCTCACCCATAGACAGCTGAAGATAGGCACCAGCACCCCTCTTGGGATAAGTGTGACAGAAAATGGATGGATATTATGTTTGCAGGACTATTAATTGAATTCAGTTGATTTATATAGTGCCAATTTACAACACATGTCATCTTAAGGGACATTATAGTCAAATTGATTCAAAGTTTTCTATTTAAGGAAAACCAGTTGAATGCATCGACTCATTGAGTCGAATGCAATCCCTCACACTAAGCATGCTTGTAGCCACAGTGGAGAGAAAAAAGTCCCTTTTAACAGGAAGAAACCTCCAGCAGAACCAGGCTCAGTGTGAGCGGCCGAGGCCGACTGGGGTTCAAGGAGACAGAAGCAGAGATACAAAAGGTGACTGTAAATGGCGGCCCCGTCCAGGAAACACACAGCCAGGCAGACGAGCTCAGAGCCAGCTCTCATGTCAGAGGGTGAAGAGAGCACATCCAGCCAGTCACACTCAGAGAAACAGGATTACACTGAAAAACAGGCCGATTTCCAACATCTATAAACAAAGAAGTACTAGATTGACTGGCGGCCTGTCCAGGGTGTACCTGTACCCCGCCTCTCGCCCGTAGACAGCTGGAGATAGGCACCAGCACCCCTCCTGACCCCATTTGGGATTAAGCGTGTCAGAATATGGATGGATGGATACTGCATTTCCCGGCATGTTACAAATCACATGTTATGTTTGTAGTAGGCAGTGGCTACATTCGTCATTTTAATTTAGTTAAGCTTTTTATATACTGGCAATTCCCAATATGTCATCTCAAGTTACAATAGTCAGTTAGTTACAATAGTCAGATTGAACATAAGTGTGAAATATATTACATTTGTGGGATTATCATATTTGCAGACATTACAGCTATTCATCACATTTGTGTTACTTTTGTTTTTTTGTATTCGGAAACCCTGTAGTCCAAATTTGAACTGTTAAACCCAAGGAAAGTGAAGAGGCATAAGCTAGGAACAGGAGTTTGAAGATTGAGCCTATGATCCACTAGATCTTGATCCTACACTAGACGTATGAGCAAGCCTTGTAAAAAAGCTAAAAGTGCAAGTTACATCTAAGTTAGTTCGTAAGTCTTGCTACAGAATTAAGGAGAGTTTTATGTGAACTCAAGGTTTGATTTTTCCTTTTCGTCTGTATCTTACCGGATTATTTTTGTCCCAGGCCATGCAACTGACAGTGCGCCCTCTTGTGAGCTCACAACTGAAGACCCAAAGACATTCCAGAGCTGGAGAGCAGGAGATCTCTGTACAACGTTTACTCTGGTCCATTTCCTCAGGTTTTACTGGTCTGTCGGGATCTGATGAAATCATCAGAAGAACATTAGAAAAACTTTTTTTTTTCTCTAATGTTACAATTAGTCAATTATCCCACCACTGAAAAGACTGAGTTAACAGTTTACCTCCCAGTAAAGGCAATCCTCTGTATGCAGCCAGAGGACAATGGAAGATGCTCCTTAAAATGATTCTCTCCGTTATAACCAAAAGGTAATGGAACTTCTCTGATGTCTTGATGAGCTCCCAGTCCAACTTGGTGTTTGAACTGGTTCCAACAGCTTCCACGTCTTTCAGTGAGCAAGACGATATGACAAACATATCAAATGTTTGAGGGAAGCAGAATGCTTCTCTTAAAGCACTTAAATGAAAGAGGGGCATATTTCCTTTTTTTGTGATTTTTTGATCTTACCTGTTCTAGCTGAAGTGTTCAAGGACATACTCCTCTCAGCACTTCTGCTAAATTCCTCACCAGCCTCAGAATAGCTGGTCTGTTTTTCCTCCAGGCTTCCAATCATCACTTCCTGCTCTGGATATTCATGCATGTCTACAGCTATTGACAAGGATGTTATCGATCATTATCCTTCAAAAATCATCTGAAGGAATATATTTGCGAGTACAAAATAAGAATGAAATAAAAAAAAAAACATGCAAATCGTGGGTTTTTATTATTTTTTCCTCTACAATATCTACAAGCACATACATGTTTGGGCCTAGAGTTTCATTTTTTCATGGCTTTGGATGTTATTTTCTCTACAGTATTTTGGGCTTTAATGTTGCAAAGAAAATGGCCACAAATTGCAGTTAAACTCCTTCAAATTATTTAAATAACTGCAGCCAGAGTTGTGATGAAAATTAAAAAGAGAGATCATACCCAGAATAGCAACTCTCCATCTCACTTATAAAGTCTTTAAGAACAAAGCTTTACCTAACAGCTAACAGAACAGTTTATTCTCAATATGCATGTTTAGTAGTGGTTCCTAGAATTTAAAAAAGGTAGAATACGAGGCAGATATTTTAGTTATCCTCCTCTGAAACCAACTACCAGTTTTAGCCGGTGAGGCAGACACCCTGTCTACTTTTAAGGCAAGGCTTAAGCCTTGGTGTACTGAAGCTCAGGTGTTCAAATTTGCCTATCAGATGCTGTGGGATGATGGTGTTGAAAGCTGAGCATAAGTCCAGGAACTGCATCCGCAAATGGGTGTTGTTCCTGGACTTCAGTTCAGCTTATCTCTAGCTTATCTATAGTTATGCTGCTATTGGCTTACACTGCTGGAGGACATAGGGACCACTTTCATCATTCTGCCTCTTTTTACTTCTATTCTCCAATATTTATTATATAAGTTATAATTATAAATTATATAAGTTCAATGTCTACCTTTATGTTCTCTCTGCTTTTTCTTGTCATAGTGACTTAGCCTGATGCTCTGCTCAGCTGTTACACCAGTTTAGCTGTTACACAGCAGGTTACAGTAAATCTGAGGTAACTTAATTTTCATCCAGTTTTTTGTAAAACGTATTGGTATCTATGAAGAGGTCTATGTTCATTTCTGGCAGCTCAATTGGGGAAACTTGTAGGGCCATTATTGATTTAAGGACAATGAGGCCTAGTTCTAAAACTGTCATTAGATGTCAAATCTTTTCAAAAAGATTGAACAAAAATCTGGTTGTCTCTGATTTAGGTCTCTGTTGTTGCTATCACCCAGATGACTGAGAATTTGCACAGGCATATGGTATAAATAGGTTTTGAAAATACAAGAGGTCAGTGTGAATAAGTCTAGAGAAACAAGTAGGTGGGTAGAAGGTTTAGAGGAGCATCAAAGGGTATAAGACCAGCACTCTGGATTCTATATATAAAATGCACCTTGTCTATTAAGAATTTATTCCAAAAATATATTACATTTTGTTCTTACTTTTTTTGTCTTATATGTAAGTCTGCTTGATTTATCTGTGAATAATGAGTGAAAATAGACGCCCTGTTGAAGAACCAAATAATTTTTATACTGTACTATACTCCTCACTGAACAAAAGTAGTTAATTAAACCAAACCTGCATCGGTCTTCAGCATGAGGTCCATCTGCGTACATTTGTTTTTAGCAGCCCTTTTCAGCGTCTGCATAGCCCGATCCACATAGTTGTCAATTTTAAATCTCTTCCCGCAAGCTTCAGCATACTGTTTATTTCTCTCTCTGAAACACAAACATGAGGGAGTGGAAACAGTTTGTTTAGATAAGAAATAAAAAAGAATAAGTTTTAAACATTGGCATACGGTGTATAGGACCAAAAAAAAGTCTACACTCACGTTATGATATCTGCACCATCAGAATTCACAGAGACAACGTTGGGGGGTATGTCCAGCAGAGAAACACAGTCTGTATCAGTGATCAAAATCTCTTTTAGCATAGCTTGAGTCACTGGTTCTTTCACCAAGTCTTTTTTCAGCTTTTCCTCTGGAAATAAGAATTAAAGAAGGAAGGAAAAAGTTAACCAAAATACCCCAAAAAATGTTCATCCACTGTGTGCATCTGTAGTTTTTAAGTTGAATTTAATAACATAAGATTGATTTAGGTAATTTCAGTTTAGGTAAAATGTCAATGAATGCCTAAAATTACTTTAGAAATTTACTCTTTAGTTTCAAAAGTATCTCAAGTGTATTTAATGTGGTAATTAACCTTGAAAACTGATGGGTAGGTCATATTTGGAAAACGTCTCCTCTATTTCCTCGTTCACAAACTCTTTCTTTGGCTGGCTGGATGTTCCACTGCTAGCCAATGGTGACCTGAAAAACAATGTCAGAACATATATTTACAGTCATTTCAAGCACAAAATAACACTTGCTAACAGAGGTTTGTTTTACTGCCTTTGTTCTTGTTTTCCTTTTGAGGCCAACTGTCTAACGGCGAGATGCATGAAGCACATTCCCATCAGCTGAATTCCCTCATCATCCGCTGTGTTCAAGGATTTTAAATAATAATGAAGAGGTAGATTAAGGCCTAATTTGCCTCATCTATCTTTTAAAAACCAGACAGTTTTTATTTTATTTTCATAATCACAATGAGATTGTTTCTCCAAGTTTACTGCAACAGGCTTATATTAAAGGCAATGGTACCTTCAATTACTCTTTTGCTTTGCTAAGAGTGTGCAGAACAATGCACTCTTCTTAACATTAATAAAGCCTAAATGTCCACGTATACGAAACTTTTTGATACACGTAGAGATAGTTGTAGAATAATCAGTTTTCAGCTTTGCTGTGCCTTCTGCTCACTTTTTCTTCTAGCCTATTTACACAATTTTTAGTCATAAGCTAAAAAAAACCTGAATATAACTAAACAAAAAAATGTTTTAAAATGCAGTTAAAAGTTCTTTGATTTGAAGTCCAGAGGCCCGTACCACGAAGCAAGCTCAACGTAGCAGGATAAGTTTCCGTCTCTCCAGTTTAACCAAAATAACGACAATCAGAATCAGCAGCACAAAGAAGCTGGTTATCACCTCACTAATTCTATCCAGCTTGAACTGATCAAGAACCTGTGAACACGGCCATAAATTGGGACGGGGTCAAGGTTGTAAACCAATCCCAACCATCAGTGCAGAGTACAGAAACATGAAGTGAGAGAAAAAAAAGTGTAAAGCTAAACATGGTGGCAACATGAGAGAAACACCAAAGGATTGCTGACTGCGGAAATGTGCATGTTTACACATCAGTGTCATTTAACACAGGCTGCTTAGCAATCACTTTGCTGCATGTTAATCGTATTCCCATCTGGAGGAAGAGGACTTGGAGCAGGTAAAAATGCAACACAAAAACATTATTTCATCTGGTTAGTTGGACTTTAATAATGTGTGGGCTACAATAAAACTGGAAAAGTTATTGCCAAAGTCACTGCATCATGTTAATACAAGAAGGCATAAGTCTGAGTGAGATCATCCTGATTTCTGAGCAGTGCCAGAACCTTTTTTATTTCACCTAGCATATTACCATTCATACTGTTACAGCAAATACATTTTTTTTTTAGTTGTAATGTAGCTTTTATGTTTAACTTTCTTTTAATCGTTTTCAATTCTATCCCTCTAAATCTTCTACAGTGGTCATGGTGTCCTGTTGTAGAATAGGGGATGTTACTAGGTTATTGCGAGAAGCAGAGCAAATAGACAAAACATGGCGGCTTTATGAAACACAAACTCCTGCTAATAACCACACCTATAAAACCAAAATGAAGGGCTGTTTATTGAAGAAAACACAACATTTGGCGACATGAATACATTTTGCCTCAAACCCAGGGCGGTAGAGAGAAGGAGAGAAAAAGAGAGCTACCATTTGTTGAATGTTGAATGCAACATGGCACTGCACCTCAAGAGAGCTGGCAAAAGTATAAGACTAAGGCACACTTGAAAACAATATGATAAGGGATCAGATAGAGGAGAGATGTAGCACGAAAAAAGCTGTGTGATATGTTGTTGCAGGAGGAGGGGGTGAATTTGCATAAAAACCTGTTAACAGCAAGAGCTTTTGAAGCTGCGCAGGCAGAATCAAGACTTTGTGTTGTTCACAGAGTAAGAAACCATCATGTTACACTATTGAGATGAAGCAATAGATCTAAAACTTTTTCCACATACACAATATAACCATTTCCCTCAAATATTGTTCATAAACCAGTGTAGATCTGTGATAGTAGGAACTTGTCCTCTGTTGAGGTAATCCATCCCACCATATAGGTGTGCTATATCAAGACATATGGCATTGAATGTGAAGAAATAACAGTATTTCCTCACAACCCTGTCCTCTCTGACCACTTTTTAATAACCTTCAGGATTACTTTAACAGAGTTCTCCTCCCCCCAAAGAAGGTTTCACTTTAGCAGATCATTATCAGACAGAATATATATATATATAAAAAAATAACTTTTTCACTTTCTCTCTCCTCTGCTGAGCTGTCAAAAGTTAAGCTTGTTCCCCCTCGCAGGATTATGGTTTTGTTGATGGAGTTGCTAGTTCTCTGCGTTCTGCCTTGGGCAGCGCAGCCCCTTTGAAAAAGAAAAATGTTAAAAATGGAAAGCTGGCTCCCTGGTTTAATGCAGTGCTGCGCACTTTGAAGCAAAATGGAACTGTATGACTTAGACTTTGACAGATTTTATTTTGTTTACACCAGTGTAAAACAAGAAGAAATTTCATTTGGAACAGCTCTCTGGACAATTTAATCTTTTTTGAAAGTGCAGCCTTGAAAAATAGTTTAAAAAATGTATGTATATATATATATATATATACATACATACGTATATATATACATACATAAGTAACTTACAAACCTAAATGTAGTTAGTAATTAAAAAAAGCAGCACCAATGGAAATAACAAAAAATAAATAGAAAATAATAAGTAAAGATAAAAAAAAAAGTATAATAGAAAGTTTTACTGCATTATTATGGTCATGGCCTGTTTCCACCTATTAACAAATATTTCTATTTGAAGCCTCAGGCAATAAGTTATTTGTTCCATAT